TGCATTTTCACTCATTTTTTTAAATGAGTATTCTTGATCATTTTAAACAGTTTAGTATTTATAACAGCTTCAATAAATAACTTGTTTGTCTTTCTAGTTTTATTACAAAATCAAATGATAACCATATTTATAATTTATTTCAATAAAATAAACGTAATGTACATTGATGTAACACCATTTTGTACATGTTAGTAAAATGCATGAAAAATTCCCTTGCATTTTTCTTTTCAGAAGCGATATGGTCGATAGGTTTATAGGAGTTCATTTAATGAGAGCTCTCAATAGATCATCATAAAAACTGTTTTATAATGTTTTTGTATGCTTAGATTGTTAGATACTTGAGTTTTCATTTGTAAAAAGTTTTTTTTCTTTATAACATAAGTTATTTAGAAAATAACTTACAGTTTTTAAGACCAAGAATGAAAACGTTACAATGTTTCATTTAGTTTAAATAAAACCAACACAAAATGTTTAAAAAACTTTTGAGAAAAATTTCATTACACCGCTCTATATGGACGTTTAAAACAATAATATAAAAGTCCCCTTGCGACACTTTAAAAATAGAACGTTTTTAAAAAAAGATCTGGTCACTGTTTCATATGGATGTTTAAAAAACCAATACAATACTTTTTTAGGAACTATTAAAAAACGTTTGCAAAACTCTTTGTGCCTACTGGAAGGGTTTTATTCTTTAACTTTACGCTTTTAATGAGTTTATATAATTAAATAATTTTTTCAAATCATGTTTTGTACCATTTTCAACTAGACTTATTTATTTTGTACCATTTTCAACTAGACTTATTTATTTTGTACCATTTTCAACTAGACTTATTTATTTTGTACCATTTTCAACTAGACTTATTTATTTTGTACCATTTTCAACTAGACTTATTTATTTTGTACCATTTTCAGTTAAACTTATATTCATCGATAAATTTTTAAAATTATATTGTCATAATATTTTTCAGCGTTCAAAAATTATGACAATATAAAATCTGCAACCTCCTCAAATTGAAGGGAGTTCAAACTTTATATGGTCATAATTTTTTATCACTAAAATATATTACTATGAAATTTAAAATTCATCGATGAATGTAAGTCTAGTTAAAAATAGTAAAAAAAAAATTCATCAACTTGTTGCTTTCACGTTTTGGGGCAGGAAGGATAATATTTTGGGGTTTCTTATTCCCATTTTCCTATCGCAGTATTTTTTTTTTGTGAAGAACCTTTTCGTCATACATATCAACGTTAACTATTTATGAATATTCTTTGTGTTTAAAAGTTGCTTAATTCAATCATTTAAAAACCTTCCTACGCCACTGGTAACAGCATCTCATATTTTATATTCAGCTTGATGTATTGAGGTTACACACTTATTTAATTATTTTTTCAAACATAAATCTTTTTTGCAAACTTCAAGTGAGATTTTTGGAACATAAAAATAAATTTTTAAAGATTACCCAACGGGCATCTGTATGTTTAAAATTGGTTTAGATCACGTTTAGATAGCATTTACGTCAATCTAAACGTTTAGGAATCTATTTAAACGTGTTCTGAATATTTAATTTGCGTTGAAAAGCTGTATCAAACAATCTCCGTACGGAAAAAACTTAATTAAATTAGTTTTGCACAGAATGTGTCTGATAATTTGAATCTTTCATTATGATCAAAAATTAGAATTTCTTATGATTCTTTAATTATGTAATAAATGGTTTAGAAAAGATAAAAGATATTTATTTTTAGTATTATATTGTGACTAATGAAGCAGCTAAAAAGTCCTGTAAGTTCTTCGATAATATTGTATAAACAATTCAAAGTAATTTTAAGTACAGTAACAATGAATTTTGATAATTGTTTTTTAAGTTTTTGCTAAACCAGCATTTACGAAAAAGTAGCAGTAGTTAAAAAAAGTTTCAGCATTTTTTAAAACTATTTCTTAAATTGTTTTTTCTGTTTGGTTTCTAATAACGCTATAGAATGTCTATAGTTAACTCTTAGCTTCCTAATTTGTCTACTTTTACTAAAAGAAGGAAAATTATAAAAAATAGTTACCACTTAAAATGCATAAATTTTCTCTAAAAGTTTTATAGAAAAATTATGCATTTTAAGTAGTAACTACTCTTTAAATAATTAAATAAAATTATTATTGTTTGTTTATATTAAGACCTAACGTCTATTTTTTTTATGATAGATGTTGTATTGATCGAATAATAACGTTATAATATTAATACTTTTAGTGCAGTCAGTGCCATATAAATATTTGAACCTCACAATCATAAATTGTGAGGTTCAAACATTTATATAATGTATCTTCAGTTTTAGTGTAAGCTTTAAGCGTAAACTGAAAAATATTTTTAAAAATTTAAGTATTACTCATGCTCATATATAATAACCACTAAAGAGAAAATAAATTTACTTACCTCTGACATGATAGATTATTATATTGTATTATTTATTTCCTCTTTAGTAGGAAAGTTAACATGGATTAAACAATAATATATATAGCTATATTACATAATTTTTTAAAATCCGCTCAAATATACTTTTTATTGTTAATTAAGTTTTGCGTTTTAATTTCATTTAATATTTTATATACAGTCTAGTCAGTTGCAACAACAATTAAAGCAGCAGGAAACAGCCAAGTACACATGCAAGTGGTAAATTGATTTTTTGTGACATTTTTCCTCCTTTAAAATTTAGATTTTCTTTAAAAAATAAACAAGTTAATGACTATTTCTGCAAAGATCATTCTGTAAATAAAAAATGCTATGTTTTTTACAACTAATAGTTATTTTTTTAGTAATCACAAACTAATTAAACTGCAAACTCTGTACTTTTAGAAATGATTTCAATAGTTGAATATCAGTCAGATATTTACCTTTTAAAACATAATCTAATTATTCAGGCTTATGAAAAGCTGTTTATAAAAAATCGACGCCTTAAAAATAATGTCAGATTAAAGGTAATTCCTGTTTTATTTGAAAGGTACGTCGATGATTGGTTTGAATCTTTAAAGTTTAAATTAGTTAAAAGAGAGTTTTAATTGTTCTGTTTGGAAAAAAGTTTAAGACCACCACATATATATGCTATACTTTGGTGCCTAAAACAAGATGCTATAACTTGGTGCTATTTTTGGTTTTAGCTGCTGTGGACATTATTTTAATGCATTTATTTTTTATTCTTGAACCAATTTTTTTGTACTGGAATATTTTTTTCATTAAATTTTCAGTTTTTCGTAAATGGTCGTAAGACTTTTTCCAAAACTATGAATTTATAAAGTTGTTGATTGAATGATTTATATGAATAAAATGAAGATGTTTATTGAATTATTTTTATTATTTTCAGAAAAGAGATTGTATGACTTCGGTATCCGCAATTCTGTATCGTGCATTGGTTCCCATCTTAGAGTGGCTTCTTTTCCGTATAGGTGGAAATACGAAAGGTTATGTCCTTATTTCTAATTCTTAAGACGAAGTAGCTTAATCGGTTCAAGCAAAGATGACAATAATCATTATTAAACCGATCATGATGACGAATACGAATAAATTATTAAATAAAATGATTTTACTTGTATTTTAGACTTATATAAATAAAAAATTATCTGTTTAACGTTTGATTTGTTTATGAGTATTTAGATAATGCGTTCCGCGTTTAACTTTTCTTTAGAGTGATTATTTAAAGCAGCTTAAATAAAATAAAAGTTTGATTTATTTATCAGTATTTCCTTTATTTATGCCTCTTTAAATAATCGCCGTAAAGCAGAGTTAAACGTCGCGAAGTTTAAAACAAAGGCTTTAGATGGAGTTTAAATAGCGTTTAAAACGAACCATTTAGATATGGTTTAAAACGTTTAAAACAAACCATTTAGATAATGGAAAATTCGATTAACTTATGTTCTAGATTGAAACTAAATTAAATCTAAACATTTAGAACGAACATTTACTAAACGTTGGTTAAATAATTGAATCCCCGCTGGGTATTTTCTCAATCTTCACCAAATTATTTACCAATTTAATGTTGGCTGCTGTTTGAAAATAAATCTTACTCACAAGAAGCAAGCAATCACTTAATACATATTTTTATTAATGAATTTTTTAACATACGACAACTTTTAAATTGAAATTTTCACCACTGCGAAGCCATTTAGCTACAAAAATATGAAAATGACATTTATAAGACAATGAAAAATTAGGAATTTTATAAACAGCTATTGGCTCAAAAACAGTTGGTATGCCTGATATTTCTTGGTCCACTTTAATTAAATTGCCCAATTTGTTTCATTTTATTTACAGCATGTTTGAAACCTGCAGCATACCAGGATATTTACATTGCAAAACATTATTTTGCTGTAAAAATATTTTAAACAAAAAAGCATTTTTTATTTCTAATAGTTGCAATTATAATAAATACAAAATTACAAACCTTTAAAATTACTTTTAATGGAGAAAAGCATAGAGTAAAATTTCAAAGAAAATGTAACTATTAAATTACCATTTTAATAACACATTTTATAGTTTTTATTTTACAAGTATAAAACATTTATAGTGCAAACGCGACTTTAAACCATTACAAAAACTCAAATTTTTATTCGTATTTTTAAAACATTTTATACCTTTTACACATAGCTTATATATATTTGTATATATATAACCGTAAATAACCCAAACCGTAAAAAAAACAGGCTTTCTAATTTTTTACGCAAAATGTTAAAAACAGGCCGTGTATTCTAAGTAGGCCATTATCTTAACTATTTAACAATAAGATATAGCAATACAATTAGTTTTTATATTACATTACATTATAATAAAAATATTTATAACAACATATATAACTATTTTGACACGTATGACCGTATTGCATGTAATTAAAAGTATAGTTAATGTTTCTTATTAAAGAAATAATGCGCTTTGTGTTAATTTGTTATATCTATGTTGTAAACTGTACAATAATTTTACTTTCTATTGTAAATTTTTACTTCATAATGTTAATAACTAACTTACAGTAGCTTTTTCCTGAGGCTTAAAATTTTGTTGAATTAGTATATTTGAAATTACCGAGTTTGATTTTCAAACATAGCTTTTTGACACAAAATGTTCTCAAAAATTTAAAAAAGATCAAAGCGTGAAACTTTAAAAAACTAAATCAAGCAAATCGTAAATATAAATGGAGAACTAAGTGTTAACTTTGTTTGTTTTAATGTTTAATGACAAAAAGTAGTCTGAGTTCATTTTTGGTCAGTAATTTTAAATAATATCTTTTAGATAAAACTACAAATGCTTAATGCAATCCAGTAAGCAAGATATTTTTAGATTTCAGATATTTTTCTTTTTTAATTTGAATTCCCTTCCCGAAGGCCACAGAGTCTACTTTAGTTGCGGATACAACCCTCTCTCAACTCTATAACTCCGAAACACAAACATTGATGTTGAGAGAAATATGCCAAATTATTGCTTTAAACAAAATTTGCATAATGTTATGTGTATATATATATATATATATAAATATATATATATATATATATATATATATATATATATATATATATATATATATATATATATATATATATATATATATATATATATATATATATATATATATATATATAAACAAAATTTGCATAATGTTATGTGTATATATATATATATATATATATATATATATATATATATACATATATATGTATATATATATATATATATGTATATATATATATATATATATATATATATATATATATATATATAAATATATTTATATATGTATATATATATATATATATATGTATATATATATATATATATATATATATATATATATATAAATATATATATATATATATATATATATATATATATATATATATATATACATATATATATATATATATATATATATATATATATATATATATATATATATATATATATATATATATATATATATATATATATATATATATATGTATGTATGTATGTATATACAATATAGTTGGCATTGTTAAATTATTTTTATTTTTTTTATATAAAAAGAATAAAGTTTAACCTCACTATAACTATGTGTTGGAACATACTAATGATATGTTATAAACGAGTTTTTATTTCAACTTCATTCATTATATGTTTAAAAAAACATTGTCTTATAATTTCCCCTATCATATAATTTTGTTAAACCCTTGAATAATAATTTAAAATGGAGACAACTGGGTAAAAGACAATTTATACAAATCTAAAGGTAAGCTGTATATGATAACAAAAAAAAACTTCAAAACATAGATTACACACTGAATCCAATTTACTAAACAATATTTAACGATGTAAATGAATACTATTCAAACTTCCTCTATCAAAATATAGTAATTGCCGCCACAAAGTGGCCTAACAAAAAAAATATCATAATTTGAATTAATTAAGATGAATTCATTTAAACAGTTTTTAAACAAATTTTATATACATAGGTATATAAAAGAAAGTGATTTTGATTGTAGAAAGGTTTTATGGAATATTTTTACAAAATAACTATTATAATTGTTATAAAAACATAGATAAGCTACACAAAAAAACTTAATTATCTGTAAAATTTGTTTCTTTTTCTTATCAATTTGTCTGACAAATTCCAGTAAGAAAACACTAATGATTTTCAGTTAACAATTTTCTGAATAAATATACAATTTCATAGGGTGTTCTTGACAAAGCTTTTTTAGTTTTCTATGTAAACAATTTTTTGCTTTTGCATTTAACTTTAATGCTCCTTATTCTCAAATGAAACAATTATGCTTCATTTTGATGATCGATTGCCCCTGAAAAAATGGCTGTCTATGAAAAGTTCATTAGCATCATCACGTTGTTTTTTTCTTAGTCATAAAAACTTACCAAATCTTTTTAGCAGCCTTTAAATATCTGATCTTTTAATATGAGATAATTTTTACCATTCATTTCAGTAAGTCAGTTATTTCTAATTGGTTTAAATAAATAAACTGGATCATAAAGTATTATTAAAAACTTCTATTATCAATAAGGCCTAGACATAGCATATCTATTTTCTAAATAATACATTTATAATTACTGCATTTGGTTACAAGATTGTCTGAAACATGGCATAAAAATTTCAAGGCTTAATTCCGGTACTGCCTGAGTGATTTGAATTTTTGAATTTTGTATAAAATAAACAGAAAGCCTAAAGATTGGCTCGTACAATAAATAAACTCTTGTTTTTCCAACACTGGCTGATAATTAAAACAAAGTAGTCTTAATAACTTATGTAGGATTATCTTCATTGTAGTCTATTAGATGGCATCCTTTAAAACGCATAACTGGTTTAACATAGATTTCATCAAAAAAAGACTACAACACTTTTTAGAATTTGATATAAAAAATACACATCAGGTTTCTGGATTTCATTAAAATCTTTGCAAAATTTGTTGAACGAAATGTTGTGCCTGTTTGTCATAAAATTGAAGGAGCAAGCTAAGAAAAATTTATCACGGATCTAATGAAATCTAAAAAACAATTTAATGGAACTAAATATATATATATATATATATATATATATATATATATATATATATATATATATATATATATGTATATATATATATATATATATATATATATATATATATATATATATATATATATATATATATATATATGTATATATATATATGTATATATATATATATATATATATATATATATATATATATATATATATATATATATATATATATATATACATAAACATACATATTATATATATATATAAATAAATATATATATATATATATATATATATATATATATATATATATATATATATATATATATATATATATATATATATATATATATATATATATATATATATATATATATATATATACATATATACAAGAAGAGTGCTCAATAGATAAACTAGAGATACAAAGTGTATTTGTTATTGCTACCGCAGTACCAGCAATTAGCTAAATGTTAATGTTTATAATATAGTTTATTATTATTTCTTTTATTATTGTTATATGTATTTAATAATAATAATAATAATAATAATAATAATAATAATAATAATAATAATAATGATAATTATAATAATAAAAATAATAATAACAATAATAATAATAATAAGATAGAGCTGTGGCATAAAGCGGAGCTGACCAAATGTATATGGTCAACTATGACAGCTGAACGGTATATAAAGTTTCATATTGTTTTTAAATAGGCGTCATAACTGTTTTTAAACGAATTCGTAGTATCGGAGTTTTCAACTGCACCCTGAAGTATATTTCAAACGCCAACCTCTCCATTTAGGAAAAAGTATTCTCTTTGACGACAATTCTTTGTGAACTGTTTGTAAAGTCGCTCCTTGTTTCCCGTAACTGCACCTGCTGGTCCAGGACAATCTACATATCGAGACTTTTTTGGTTGGTGGATCCACGACGTGACATTAATACCAGTTTTTTTCCTTAAAGTATTGAATTTTATCTACCCGTGCTTTATGTGCTTTGACTGATTGGATATTGAGTAGGGCTATTCGATCTTGATATTTTTTTCCTCTTAATCAATAACATAAATTGGTGGCTCTTCTTTGTACTCGTTCGATTTCTTCTTCATCGTTTTTGTTAATAGGAGCCCATGCAGGCTTTCCATACTCAAGGCGTGGTCTTACAAACGCGGTATATAGTGTTTTTAACATTGAAGAGTTCCAGTATCTAAACGTCCTTTTGAGTGAAGCTAGAGCTGCATTAAGCATATTATTCATTTAAACATATTATAACATATTAAGTATATTATTATAAGCATAATATTCCATGATTTCGCTCTTGGTTGGTAGACAACAAGTATGTGCGGCTGTAAACTTGATTTTTCATGGTGAATTTGTAATCATGGATTTTTCTAAATTTTATTTATCGTTAATACTTTGCATTTGTTTGCATTGAATCCCATTTTCCAATTATCTGCCCATTTAGCCACGGCATCAAGGTCTCTCTGGAGCTGCTCTATGTCAAATTAGTATTTCATTTCATTTATTAGTTTGATTTCATCAGCAAAGAGCTTGAGTCAAAATTTGACAACATCTGGCATGTCATTCATATACACTATAAATAGTAAGGGACCTAGAATAGATCTTTTTAGCACACCACTCTGAACCTATATCCACTCAAAAATTTATCGTCAAAAAGAACTCCTTGTTTTCTTTCCAGAAGGAATGCTTTTAGCCATCTCAGTAATTTACCTTTGAAACTATAAGCATCTAATTTGAAAAATAACGCTTCATGGCAGACTTTATCAAAGGCTTCAGCGAAATCCAGATATATTATGATTGCATTAAGTCCATGGTTCAATGCCTCAGATGTAATGTCTATTGTCTCTAGTAAATTTTTAACACTTGATTTTTGTCTTACAAAGCCATGTTGATGCTTAGAGATTAATTTGTACTGAATTAGGTGGCTCATCATATATTTTTTCAATAATCTTTCCATGATTTTACATTTTATCGCTGTTAAAGTTATTGGTTGATATTCAGGTCATTTTGTTTGCTTTTTCACATTATCACATTAGCTTCTTCCAAATATTTGGTATAATACCTGTCTCAAATGATAACATTATTAGAAAGGAAATAGGCCAAGCTAATCCAATGACACACTCATTGAGAACATAATGGCTTATGCCGTCTGGGTCAATCGCTATATATTTTTTTTTAACTTACTTAACTCGCTAAAAACCGCCTTTTCGTTAGGATCGAATCTTTCAATCTTGCATACCTGATAAGTCCTGCTTAAGAACGTGAGCTTGTCCTAGTGGTCAACTTCAGGAAAATAAGACTTTAACTGTTTTTAAAGGTATTCTGCTTTTTCAAGCGTTTTTTTTGTTAGCTCGATGTCATTTTTTATCAATGAGGGAACAGTAAACTTTGCTTTTTTTTGACTGAAAATATAACTGTATAACAATTTTGGATTAGATTTTGAAAGTAAGGCGAGTTTGGATTCGTAACTTTTACGTGCAGCGAGGATGTCTTTCTTTAACTGCTTGCAAGTTGCTTTTTAGATTGGGCTAATAAATAGATGAGTAGTGGGTGAGATGTCTAGCAGTTTTAACC